TGGACGCATGTGATCACAGCCATTGCGGCTTTCGGTCGAGCTCCTCATGGAACCACGGACCGCTGTACTGGGTGGCGCGGACGCATGTATCGCAGTCACTGGGGCTTTTCGGTGGAGCACTCCATGGGGCCACGGAGCGCTGGACTGGGTGGCACGGACGCATGTGATCACAGACATGGGGTCCTGCGATGGAGCTGCCTATGGGGCCACGGAACGCTGTATACTCGGGCGCGGACGCATTTGATCACAGCCACTGGGTCCTTCGGTCGAGCTCCCTATGGGTCCACGAAGCGCTGTACTGAGCGGCGCGGACACATGTGATCACAGCCACTGGCCTTCGGTGGAGCTCCCTCTGTGGCCACGAAGGGCTGTACCAGCCACTGGGGCCTTCGGCGACCCTATGGGGCCACGGAAGGTTGTACTGGGTGGCGCGGACGTATGTGATCACAGCCACTGGGGCCGTCGGGGGAGCTACCTGTGGAGTCACGAAACTCTGTACTGGGTGGCGCGGACGCATGTGATCGCAGCCACTGGGGCCCTCACTGGAGCTCCATATTGGGCCATGAGCGGTCTAAGGGATGAGCGAAGATGTGGAGGAGGCGCGAGGAGGAGGAGGCACGAGACGTGCGACCGGTGGGCCGACGCAGAGACATGCGGGTGGTAACGAGGCACGGGGCGCTGTCTCTTCACAGGAGGACTCAACACCGCAGGATGGCTGGGAAATATTGGGCGATGCGTGCCTGCCCTACGGACACTTCTGGCGGTGCCACAGCGACGAGCTATTTGTCAAGGGCAAGGACGTCGTCGTCGTCGATGTCGTCATCCTCATCCTCATCATCAGCAGCAGCATCAACATCAACATCAACACCATCATCAGCATCACCATCTTCATTATCATCACCATCGCCATCATAACCATCATCATGATCACCATCACCAACATACTTATCATCAGCAGCAACGTCATCATCGCCACCATCAGCATCATCAGCAGCATCGCCATCATCAGTAGCACTTACCATCCTCATCACCATCACTGTCACCACAACCGTCACCATCATAATAATCATCAGCATCATCATACTCACCTTCACCATCACCATCACAATTATCAAAACCATCATCACCATGATCATCAGCATCATCATCATCATTATCTGCATCTTCATCTTCGTCGAGCTCAGCATCATCACATTCATCAGCATCACCATCATGATCATCACCACCACCATCATCATCACCAGCCTCATGCTTCTTATGAACATCGTTACCAATAAACGAACTAATCAAACATTCTAAGTCGTTTTGGTAACCCTTAATACTAGTATTATCATCAACGTTCTCATCATCGCATCTATCCCGTTCGTCGGTCGTCACTCGTCCCCACCACTCGACCGTCATCGGTCGACGGTCGAAGATCGTCGGTCCACGGGCGTCGCCGTCGCGCACTCCCCAACAGCATCGGGACGACGCCGAATCGGCGGCACTGGCTGGAGGCCACCACTGGCAGGGGAAGGACGGGAGAGGCGGCGTGTTCACGACGCCAGGATCTGGGAGCTCTCTCCAGCGCAGATTAAAGGGAAATTAGGACACACAAATAAATACACACAAATAAACATATTCCCCATATTTTTCGCATATTTTCTGGGTTTTTGTCTTCCCCCCCACTTCCCATATTTTTGCATATTTTCCTGGGAGTCGACGATTAATTGTGTCTGTGTGTTTCTTTTCTCCCTGACAGGTGGACCCCCACGGACCTGCCCCTGCGTGCGCCACGCAGAAAGACTGCGTGGCAAGCGCGGCCGTGGCGGCGAGGGCCCCCCCCCCCCCCCACTCGGCGGCCCAGAAGGGCGCGCAGCAGAGCAGCCTCCTCGTGAAAGCTACACGCTGAAGGCACACAGCCTTTCGGAGGTTGAGCAGGAGAAGGAGGAGGGGGAGGAGGAGGAGGAAGAGGATGAGGAGGAAGAAGAGGATGAGGAGGAGGAGGAGGAGGAGGAGGAGGAGGAGGAGGAGGGGGAAAGAGGAGGAAAAGGATGAGGAGGAGGAGAAGGAGAGGAGGCTGTAGTCCCCGCCCCACACGCTCCCCTCTGGGCGCGCGTGGGGCGCGCCAGGGACCGGCGCGCCGAGGCGAGGAGCGGCGCTGGCGGCACTGCACACGGGGGCTTGAGGGGAAGGGTCCAGCGCCGACCGAAGGCTCCCGCGCGGATCTCCGATCGGTTCTTCTCGTCTCTTTGTTGGCTGCCCTCTGTCCATCACTGCGGGTCTCGGCGCGTTTGTTGCTGGTTGTGGGTCTTCGTCGTCGTCCTCCCCCTCCCTCTTCTCCTCTTCCTTTTCTTGATTCCTTCCGTTCCTTCCCCCCCTCGCCCCCCCTCCCGGATCTCTGGAAAAGAGGCCAGAAGAAACATACGCAAACTGAGCACCCCGACAACCGAGGCCCTTCCGCAACCGCGCTTAACCGAGGACAGCGCTTCAGGGAACAACTCCTGGGAGGCCTTCGTGC